ACCCCTCTGTCCTAGCGGCCAAATGCGACCCCCCCCCTATTGGGGATGTGCCCTGCTTCGATGCGCCCTCTCACCTCTGGTTGTAGACAGGAAACTTACCGTTGATGTTGTTCGCTGCAGAACTTTGGCATAGACGCGCGTGACGCAAGCTGCGGAAAAAGGTAGAAGTCCGAAACGGCTAACTCGTAACCTTCCAGGTGGGATCATCATCAGATGGGATTTTTGAGGCCGCTAAACTAATTACGGGGATAGCCGATAATTGAATTATTTTTTATCCTCTCAAATATGCACAGTATGACTTAAAAAGATTAACAAGAGCTAACAAGGGAAGGATACCAACTCGTCCTGGCCATTCAGAATGAGATGTATACTCCTAGAAGCGTCTCCGGATGCTGATATCAGATCTGACTTCCAAATCTGCTAAACGATTCTGGGTGGAGAGTTACGGACCTTTTTTGCTACCGTGCTTAACCATTGCGGCGACCCCCTGCCCATGCTTTGCGCTCGTAAACCCCTCGTTACCACTGCCGCCGGGCCTCATGCGCCAGCAGTAAGTGATGGCCTTCATAGTATGAGACGGAGTTACAAATCCTTATGCATTTCATAGTAAATTTGCCTTTTTCTTTATTGAAACGCACTAAACTCTTGAGAATGCAAGCTCAATCTTACTTGAAACGCGAGCAGTGTTTTTCACGTTGGTTCCATTTATACTAGTGTACAACATAGTTAGAAGACTCAACCGACCAATTTCTGACTTGTTTTTGGCTTTTTATTGGTCGCTGACTTCACAGTTCTTGGCGTTCTGCCGCACACTCCACTCAAGAGAAAGCTGCATTTAGAAGTTCAGTAGATAGGTCTACACCCCCCCCCCTCCCATCTGCTAGGAGGAGGGGGCCTTTGGCTAGGTAAGGAATGTTTATTTAGATGCATCAGAAATTTTTAGATCCAATTAACATTCACCTGCTCCAAAGCCTGTGAGGAATCTCGCTGCTAACATGTACCATTTCACTTCTGGAGAAAGCAGAGGAAGCAAGGCATACAGCAAATTTCCTGGAATGATAACGTATGACTATTTTTTCCTAGGCTCAAACCTCAAAGTAAACCAATCGTAACCGATTTTTCTTCGTCATCGCTTTCTATTCTGTCGTGATTTTTGTGCGACTATTTTGAAGGGTTGCGTCTATGGTCATTACGTAGGGACAGTAAGGCTTACAGGTTGCGGATAGCATCATTGCACCCGCGTGGCAACACCGTAGGCGAGCACAGGCAAGCGCTCTAAGTCCCCTGCACGTACCCGCGCGGACGCGGATCCATCCCCATCCAGACACCGATGCTAGGTCAGAGGGGCCTGACGACCTGGTAAGACGCCAGGCAAAATGGGGAAAGGAAGCCGCCTCCGGCACGACATATTCTGCCCCTCCTCTACCGACTTTTTTTGATGACAAGGTAACGTACACAAATGGTGCTCTCTCCATGGACCACAAGTTGCTAAGTGGCACACTTGTGAAAAGAAAACAGCTAGAACTCCATGGAAAGAACCCTAACAGAGACCTCATAATATTGCACAACTCTGTCGGTACTTACGAGTTATCCAGTATGCTAGCAGATCTATATCGGAAGGACATTGCAACTTAAATGCATTTGCTAATTTTTTTCTTTTCTATGGTTTGATTCTCCATCATTTTTGTTTCTCTTTGCTCCGCTTTTCTGATTACTGCTCCTTTTCCATTTGCAAGCTGGTGTCAGCTACAATCAAGTACTACAGTACTCCATTTCACGTCTTTCTGCCGTCATTGCCACACCCTTCCATGTCACACGGGTGGGCACCCCTTGCTGGCCGTGGACAGAAGGAATCATTAAAGGACCGTACACCATGCTTTCGAGCGGAACCAATGTAATAACCGAACCAACCAAGAGCGCAAATGCCGAAACCAAACGTGATTGGAGATTTTGTTGATAACGTCCTCTGATTCCAGTAACCGAATAAGGGATTGGCCTGAAACAGCAAACAAGGAAGCATCATCATCACATCGCGACATCAATCTTGAAAAATTCCAAATCTATAGCTGCGAACATAGCAATCAAGTGCCAGGAGGGGCGAAGGGGAGTCCCTATGGTTCTGCCAACGGCTAGTGATCGATTTGGGAGGAATATGGATGCGACATGTTCACCGCTTCTATGCTTGAAACATTGAAGCAGCATCAATGGCGAGCAAGTTGGTAAAAATGGGCGGAGATCTCATGGCTTGCTGCTGCCTAGGTCGTCCCTTGAACCTGCCTCAAATCTATGCCTGAAATTTCCGCCCATCTCGACCAACTCGCCCAGCTTTTGTTGGCGCCGTAATGTTCTGCGTGGTGTACATGTCGCTCTTGTGACGATGTCGGCCTCTCCTGCTCAGCCTCTGCCATTTCATCCACGAGCAAAATAAACCTCTAACAATGGCTAACTCACAATAGCGCATCCAAGACTACACGCTGCAACGATCCAACCGAAAAAGTTTATTGTAGCCGTTGAATCAATCTGAAAATGTAAGGTGATTGCTTGGAATTCAGTTCACTATTCATGTGCAAGCTATCCGACTTTGAGAAGCAACTGCCACCTTTACATCCTTGAAAGGAACCTATTTACAGGTAGAGTACCCAATACACTGAATTCAGAGCCCATTACAAAAGTTACACTGCGGTAAAAATTACAATTCAAAACAAGCCAATGATTTCATCATTTCGCTTCCTCAGTGGGTGTTCACATTGTCACAAAGTAATGAAGAATGGAAAAAGCGAACTTCTCTGAGATACTGCCACGTTGACATAAAGTAGATGCTCATTTGAACTCCTGTGAGCGCAAGCATGAATGCTGCTGCAAGCACTGACGGCCATGGCGTTTGGCGCTTTTCCAGGTCCCTGAAATATGAAGTATCTGTAGTGGTGGGAAGTTCTGTTTCGAGATATGACAACTGACCCAACTAGCAGAAGAAGATGTAGCTTTTACTTACGTGACTTCCCACCTACTTTCGAACTTTTGAAGCTCTTCTAGGCACCCCGCTACATCGTGTGCCTTTTAAGTTAATAATATTGAACCATCTGTCCCTTGATTCCTTTTGGGAAATGAAATTCCGAAGCTCGAAATCTTCCTAGACTGTTAACTTTCGAACTTCGAAACCTCACATGGAAGGAGAGTAGATGGTGTCTTGTAAACAGCCTGGTCATCAAGTGCGATTCAGGACAAGAACGTTCGAGAAGTATAGTGGAAAACTCAACGCAGCAAACGAGGGGAACAACCACTGGCTCTCACACTTGACAGACTGGCGTTTTGGCGTAAGGTGTAGAAAAATTCAAAGTTGTTCACGAAATACAAGGAAGCAAAGTGCGAGGGCTGAAGACTGGACGCATAGCAAAAGGAACAATCTTGCCAAATGCATAGTAAATGGGACAATCTTGCCTTTTCTGTAGTTCTGCAGTCATCTATGCGGACAAAAATGCTAGTATGAATGGGTCGAGTTTTTCAATCGGATTACCCCGCACATTTACATAGCATCATACTGTGACTATTTCCCAGTTCGGTTTGACATGATCAATCATTAGAGTTCAGTAAACAAGACTCAAGATTCTATATCGGGGTCTTTTGGCACTTTGCCAGAATTTTATAACCTTACGCCAAATTGGATGGGTCTCATATCGACGTATAACAGAATTGGCTGATACACCTCGGAGGAAAACTTCATCATTCGTAAAATTTCATCCTGAGGTTTTTAGTAGTCCAGTGCAATTTACGTTGGCTTTACAGAAACACATATTAGTCATCCCATCCAAAAATGTGGGGTTTCATTCATTTGAAACGAAGAGGAAACAGATGAGAAAGTAATATTTTGGCTCCAAGTTAAGTAGATCCCTCCTTCACCAATGACCCGCTCCCAGTGCCCCGAAAGCTTTGGACCTCTGGTACCTTCGTTTTTTCAACAAGTGCGAGTAAATTGCTGTTGATGCCAATTTCGGCGAATGACAAAACATTGTAGCGTTTGCCGTTGAGAGTATCTTCGACTGACTAGGACAGTTGAAATCCCACGCGATTGAACCCAGGTCACCCAGGTCTCAGTATTGTTTGTGTCCCAGCACTGCCCTACAATACAGTTACTCGGGGTCTGGCACTATGACGAGCAACGGTGGCCTTCTTGTAGTTGTGTGGTACCATCCATTTGTCGATCTGATTGTCGAGGACAATATACACCGACAGCTACGATTTTATTCTCTGTATAGAGCCGCTTGAAAGCCACAGTGGAGGAATGCTTCGCTATGATGATCATCCACTTGGCCCACGTAACTCCTCATGGCGGAATTCGGGCGGCTTCTTATCTGCATTCATAAAAATTGACGCTTGTCTGTTTGGCTCGTAATTCCACCCATATTTCATCTAGGGCCGGGGTGCGTTTTCACAGTCGTGAATGACATCTTATGCTGAGAACATTACTGCTAGAGGCATAGAATCGGTACTGCGTTCGTGCTTCTACAAGAAAATTAGGTACCCAAACGCATACCCTCTTGACCATCCTCTTTTAATCAGACCTACAGTCCTCATCCCTGAGACGGAGTAGGCATGGCTTCTGAGCATGTCATAGGACGGGTTTCTCGTGGTAAAACAACAGCTACCTTGTTCTGTATCAGATGTAGACATGATTACGACTGCTCCGAAATGACAATATCTCACGAAAACCTGGGCCGCCGCCATTTTAAAATCAAGTACGCAGCCACGCCTACCCGATCTCAGGGATTTCGAGTATAACTAGGGCAGCAGTTGCAGCAGGGATGTCAGACTCGCGGGGAAGCTCGACAAGGGTCCAGGCTCTGTGATCAGACATTCAGCGCTTGACTTCATCCACCCTTTTTTCTTGTGCAGGATGAACATTATGGGACCATCCACGACAACAAATTTTTTCCTTTCCTTCCTTCTTCGGGCTCTCTGTACAAAACTTCCACATTAAATTTCGAGAACACGAGCACACGCAACTACTAGTCCGGTACAGGTAAATTTGAGCAGCGCACTTCTCCTCTTATGACGCCTGATTTCGAAAATCCGGCGCTGATTTTCACCACTCAGGCTTCTTTTCAATTTCTCGAGAACTTCTGTGGCTAGGTTTGCCAAATTTCACAGATACATAGCTAAAGGTACTAGCTTCCAAATGGTATAGTAGCCCGCTGCCCTATCCCCTTTGCTTTTCTGCCATTCCTCTATATGTCTCCACATTTTTGAATGAAACATGTAACTAACATATAACTTTTGGATGAAACATATAAATCCTACGCTCCCTCAGAACCATTATTTGCCAGCTGTGAAACAAGCAAAGAAATCGAAAATGGAATAAAAACAGCGATGAATAAAGTGTATACGACAACAAATAAGGAGGAGTATGAGTTTTCTTTTTTTGTTTTCAGTTATACGAATGGGTGATCAAATCAGCACTACAGTGCCGGTGGAACCATTTAACGGTCCCCCCTAGGTCGACTTATACCAGGAAGTACATATAATGTGAACATTTCCAACTGCACACAAGGGCAGGTGTGGAAATCGGGAGCACTGGTCGCGCAGCGTGTTTCCCTCTACAATGTTTTGAATAAGAACCCTTTCTTCACCCCTAAAATGTCAGCCAACCTATCTCGAATTTTTTAGAACCCTCTCTATACGCGGTGACAGGAGGAGAGGATATGTCACGCTGAGCACGGTTGGAAAAATCGTTCGTAAATTCCAACATATCTAGTTCGATGCTATGCGAAGCATAAAAAAGAACTCCAGTTCCTTCCCTGCCACACGAACTCGAAAATTTTCTTCTGAAATCCTTTAACTTTTCCAAGTCTTCGCTACATGTTCGCAGGGTGGTCAAACTTGACGCGAGGAAAATTGCTACTCCATATGATTCTTTCCACCGCCTGTGATAAGATAGAACGATTCTTGTAGCGAAGGACTGAAACTTCCAAGATTGAAGAGCTCCACTATCACAACTGTTCCACTGTTGTGTCGCGCTGCTTCGATTAGGCGTGGCTTCATTCAAAAGCGAGGCCTCTAAAACTGTCAGCACACTACCCAGCCCGAGCACACTTTCGAATAAGAAAAGTAGTTCCGAATGGAATACTGATGATGACGTTTCCCAATGATCGCGAAGAATTCCATTCGCCTCATTCTTCCACCAGAAGCACAGCTAACAGCAATTGCTGGAATCCTGTTACCAATTAAGGAAAGGAAAAAACTAGACAAATAAGGCTATGAATCATTCTATAACAGAGAGTGTAAATAATGTCAATGTTGTGGTAAAGCGAAGAGTAGATGTCACACTCTTGTTCGCTGTGGATGCTGGGGCGGGTCAGGGAGGGAGGAGGGTGCTAGGAATTGGCAGGCAACCACACTCAGTAGAAAACCGCCCCATCAGCTCTCTCCTCCTTGCGCCCCCAACGTTGCGCCCCCAGCGTCCGTAGTGAACAAGACTGTACACGTCAAACGTTAGTGGGAATATTGGATATGGTCCTTCTTTGACTTATTGACTTACAGCAAGATATGATAATATAGGAATCTGTCACCAAGGAGTCTTATCATAATAAGCCCACACTAAACCGTTGCCTTACATCGCTCCCCCCTGAAACAAGTCTTATCAATAATAAGTCCACCTTAAGTCATTGCTTTATATTGTCTTCCATGGAGACAATTTGTTACCTCGAAGCAATATTTCTTTCCCTTCCTTATCCCTGCCCTCTCTTCACTTCCTACCTCTTCCCTCCTTACATCAATGCTTATGATTAGTTATTTACCCTATATCTGAGGTATAGGGCGCACCTTCTCTTCTTTCTGGTCTTCCTTGTGTCGTGTTTTTTACTGTTGTTTTTACTGAGGGATATGTAATGATTATGCAATGTTTGGAGACCATTCAGAAGAATAAAGTAAGGGCTAGGAAAAGGGCTGTTCAGGAATTCTCGCGCACGTTTGCGTTTTGCGCTTACGTGCATGATAACAAATGCGCCCTGTAGCTCAAGAAATATGATACTTCTCTAGTTCCATGGAAAAACCCGCTTTTACGTGGAAGGAAAAAGAATAGAGTGAGAAAGATGACTGAGCAGATAGTGGATGCTTACGGATGAAATAGTGGTAGTGGTGAGAAATTACACAAAAGTCGACTATCAGGCGAATTACTTAAAGACACATAGTACGCTCATACACATTGAGGGTGTATGAGACTATCAGCCCCCCAGATGTCGATGTGTCGTGGTCCCCCCGCCCAAACATGCCCAGGAATGGAGATACAGGGCCGTGAAACACGCTAATTCTTCCATGCTCCGCCCACTGCCTTTTTACGGCGCAGATTCCCGCCGTTCATAACATCCGTCGTAAGCGCGCCTGTCGCGTGCGGCTCCTTGGCACTTTGCCAAGTCCTTTAATTGCGCTCAAATACAAGTAAAACGCAATTTCCTGATGCGGATAACATTGGAGGTGCTACAAAATAAAACAGAAGATGATGACAAGGGCCAGAACTCAAGAGCAACTCGGCTGCATCTGCAGTATCCATCAAGGCCGCGCATTCCCACAAAACATGAAAATAAAAACAGCCCAAGCGTCCCACTCGTTTGTTCTAAGTATTTCTATGGCTTTGGCGCCGGATCGTAGAAATTTACAGGCCAGTTTATCTAATTTGCCTTTCCTTGATTTTTTCATTTTTGTTTTGTTTACATTTACATCGTTGTGCTTCATTTCTAGCCTGTGTCATCTTCATCTCCTTGTACATGGATTTTGAAGCATGAGCAACACCTAGAATTTTATTCGCATCAGGAAATTGCGTTTGTATCAAACTAACAAGTATGCCCTTTTTATTTTCATGTTTCGTGGAAATACGCGGGATGTTGCAGAAGTGGCACAGTTGCTTTTAAGTTCTGACCCTCGTCATCATCTTCTCTTATTTTGTAGCACCTCCAATGTTATCCGCATCAGGAAATTGCGTTTTACTTGTATTTGAGAGCGCAATTAAAGGACTTGGCAAAGTGCCAAGGAGCCGCACGCGACAGGCGCGCTTACGACGGATGTTATGAACGGCGGGAATCTGCGCCGTAAAAAGGCAGTGGGCGGAGCATGGAAGAATTAGCGTGTTTCACGGCCCTGTATCTCCATTCCTGGGCATGTTTGGGCGGGGGACCACGACACATCGACATCTGGGGGGCTGATAGTCTCATACACCCTCAATGTGTATGAGCGTACCATGTGTCTTTAAGTAAATGGCAAAACTGGCGGAATAGTTCCCTTCGATTGTGAAAACGACGCAAACAGCTTTACGCAAAAGTTTAAGGTGAGGTTTGGCAAATTGCCAACAGTTGGTTGTGACCTTATAACGATACAACGTTTGCGTAACAGCTATTTGCGTCGTTTCCGCAGTCAGTTTCGCCATTTACTGAAGTAACTCGCCCTGATAGTCGACTTCTGTGTATTCTCTCAGCAGTACCACTAAATCACCTGTAAGCATCTACTGTCTGTTTGACCATTTTTTCTCTCTTTTTCCCCTCTTTCCCATTCCACATGAAGCGTCTTCTGATTGGAGCCCAGTGGTGGAGGCGCAGGCCATCGCCTTTCACTCCGTCTTGCCGCTGCGGTGAGGTTAAAGAAACGCGCCACAACGCGCATGTGTAAGCTTTTCCATCCTGCCTTGCTTCCAGACCATACACTTGCTATGCTGACCGTAGCTATTTACCATCTTCGCTT